GAAGTATTTTCATTTTACTACATAACCACCTAGTTATTTTTCGTATTTGAATAGAATTTCGAAATTACCAGTAAATCAGTAATATGAGATGTATTCACTCAATTTCGGACTGGTAGTATAATTTTTCCACAATAATCTGAGTAGAGCTGACGTTTCCATTCAATTTTACTGAGCCTTGATTTCCCAAAAATTGTTCTTATCCAAGGTGGACTGCAGTTTCGATTACGTTACTTATGTTTGGTATGTGAGTAGAGTTTCGAGACTGGATGAGAACTAATTTTAAGAAAGCAAGGCTATGCTAAATTCAATGGAAACGTCAGCTCTACTCATATCATTGTGGGAAAATTTTACTACCAGTCCTTTATTACCTTAAACGAAATTGGGTGAATACATCTCGTATTACTTATTTACTGGTAGTCTCGAAACTAACCAAATACGAAGAATAAGTAACGTAGTCTATTGTTATAGCAAATATACGTTTGCTTTATCTCATCACCTATTTATTCTTCGTACTTTAAATTTTACCTCTAATAAACATTTTCGTTCACTGAGGATTCTAGTTTGGATTTTAAGACAGGAATATTTCAATCTTCACTAGTCTAAACTACAAAAGACATTTTGTCTGAATTAGTCACATGTGACTTCATTGGCAAATTATGCTATTGCTTAACTGTCTATCCTAGGCTGTTATGCTTTTTCATGCCTAAATCGTTGGCTACTAATTACATCTTATGTATAAATGTTGCTTTGAAACATAATAACAAGAAACTCAATTCCAGAATAATAACTTTGTTGCCGTAGTTTTCTTATTATGCACTGATAATTGCCTTTTCCCACAGTGCTATAGACCTGACTTCGTAACTGAATTCAACTTAGTTTTACTCCTCAAATGATGTTTATGTCCAGAATATACCTCTTTTTTACCTTTCCTAAGTCGCATCTGCACTTTCGACAAGATTTGAAACCGGGTCGTTCTTATTAGGGCGACGATTTTCTACTCATCTGCACCGGGACGAAGCGAATTTTAATGAAATCAGGGCTGCTCCTGACTCAAATTTTACATAGTGTTATTGTTGAAGAGACAAATCAGAAATATACTTAGTCCAGGATTTGTCCTTCAAGACTATACTGTAAATCTGGCCGGAATGCGAAAACGAGGTCATCTAGTATCTTAATTTATTCATTTTCACGTTGTTTATTCATTTGCTACATTAGCCTTTCTCTGTTGTACCTCACTATTGTTCCCTTATACCTGAAGGATCTTGTGGAGCGTTGTCTCTTTCCAGCCTCTAGGCAGTACCATTCAATGCAGCAATCCACGGATTCCGACAGCGCTACTGACTTAGCTCGCCATATTTTCGCCTCTGGCACAACTGACTGCTTCGCTTTGCCGCCAGATGCCCTTTTATCTGCGGCCTTCGGTCTCCTTTTAGGCCTTGCTGCCAATTGTGCCCAGAACCAGAGTCTAATAACTCGGATTCTCTGCGAGCTTTTCTATTCCCGTAAGAAATTCTTACATAATTATGCTTGTTTAATCTTATAACCCTTACAACCGCTTCGCCAATTCGTTGAATGGCCTGTGATTACCCAGACCATCTTTTGCAATAGGCCTAATTTGAGTGGTGTTCTCTTAATAATCCAGTATTATATCACTAATTTTGCAATTTGGGTTCGCATTGTTTTTCCTCATTTATTCAGTTTATGTTAGTAGCACATTAGTTTCTTTTAATTACTTATGGAGGGTATTTGTTTATTTTTCACAATTTTTATGTTCCATCCTGGACCAGAATTTCATTTGGCCGAAATTATGGTCCAGATTGGATGAGAACCGCCTTTGGCGATAAATTAGGTAGTGAATTTGATTGCGAAATCCAGGTTTCTCTTCAATTTGTAGTTTACTTTTCATGAGGGAGTAGGGTTTCGAGACTACCTTTTCAGCCTGCTGGTAATATCCTTCTTAAAAACTTTTTGCTTACATTAATTTCAAAAAAATATATTACCGCAAACCAAGGAACAGCGAGTTTCTAACGGTTTAAAAAATATATTGAGAAGGGCCCTTTATTTTGTTAGACTCAGAGAAACTTTGCTGTATGTCACCTTATCGGAGCGTGTCAATATTTATTTGTTTTAAATAGCTTTTTTCATTTAAAACATTGTTTCAAAGTGAAATTATGGCCCTTTACCATGGGAGGCTTTAATAATGGATAAACAAGCACTAACGATAGCACAAACGATCCCGATGCTGCTAGTTTGTGGACCGTAAACATAATACTATAAGAAATAATTACTTTACTTATTCAGATATAATTTTGTGCAGTAAAAGAGGTTCTGCATGGAACTTACATAAGTGATAGAGGATTTGAGAGGATACGGCATCTCTATATACTTGCAAAAGAGTTGCTTAAATCTTTGAATTTTTTCTATCTTCGATCATTACTTCTTGTGATTTTTTGAGACTTACAGGCGAAGTAGCATTGGTAAATTAACTTAAATGTCGCTGTTCGTATCATATTTGGAAAATTCTATCATCTACTTTTCATCATTTTATGCGATCTGGGGTGACATATCCAAAGAATTAAAGATCGCCAGTTAATCTTCATTCATAGACCTTCACACATGTCACGAATTTAATTTACTTCAGATTCCCTCCACTTCGCATCTACTAAATACAAATAAATCCGCTTTCCCATCAATCCATTTCATTCTGTGTCAAATGTTATAGTTAAACTTACTTATGTGTGCATTGTGATATCGCTTGTTCTTTTTTGTGTTATGGCTTCCTTGTACCGTTTATATCAAAATTTTTCTTCATCACCTTTTATACAAAAGAGTTCAAGATTTTGAAATCAGTTTGCCTAATTATATTGTTCACAAATCTGTAATTAAGCTAACATGTGCATTTAAATTGTTCTTGTTTCCTTATAGCCAGCGTCCATTTGAACATCACCGAATGGGATTTCTCTCCGGCCAGTGGTCAGGCCTCCAATTCATCCCCTAAATCGTCGCACTGTTCTCAGCGTTTTAATTACCAGTCTCGAATGTCAGCCGCTGCCGGTTCTGCCTCGGCCGTTAGCCCTGAAGGAAGTACAACCCTCGGAACCTCATATAGCTGCCTCAGTGTGCGTCGCTGGCGTGATCGTTTTCCCGGCCCTGGACCTGAACTCTCCTCTCCAATGATTCCGGTATTTTCACTCGGGCTCGCCCAGATTGCCACGCCGTTGAGTCCCTGCCGCGTGGGCTCTCCCTCATCTGGTGTCTCATCGACATTGGGCTTTGAGGCTACGGTCTCAAATAGCTATGGCAGCAATAGCAGCAGTGGCAGCAGCAGTAGTGGCAATGTCACCGGTCAAGCGGAATCTAGCGAACCTCTTGCCGTTTGTCCTGGTGGAATAGCACAATCGCAAGCAACTTGCTCAAGTGACCTTAAAGTGTATCCGTATCCCAATCATCATCATCGTTATTACACTCCTCTCTCTGACAGGCAAGATTCATTTGTAGGCTTAAAGAATGCTGGTGCCACTTGTTACATGAATGCCATTCTACAGCAGCTCTTTCAGCTGGCGCCAATCCGCGACAGTGTTCTGCTTTCCTCGCCTGAGCGATTGTTGCAACGTCACCAACAACTTGACTCGCGCACACTGAACCCTAATCAAAATGAGACGACCAAGGATGGCAGAGGAGAGCTGAATGAACCAGCTAAACATGAGGAGGAAAATAGAAAAGTGAGTCCGATCTGCTGAATATCTGAAGGATATGGTCCAGAACGCCATTTTGCAGCGTAATATAACAAGAGATTCCATAGTTTTTATGGGCCGTGAGGAATAAAATGTGCTTTATAGTGCAATCAATAGAAGTTCAAGGGTGTTTTAAGAGGGAACTAAGTAGCAAATGGTATTAGGAGCCATCTAGCACCGTGGCTATTATAACTTTTACAAATTAATTCCTATCTTTATTTATTTTTTTTAATCTTATCTTAGTTACCATAATGGAAGTCAAAAATCGCTTTCTAGCCTACTTAGCCAGCTTCATTGTTGGAAGATTTTTGTTGACTTATTTTTCTTTGGCACACTAAACACATGTCGATAGGCCTAGTGTTTGGGAATACACCTATCATTTTGTTCCTTTTTGGGTATCGACAGTTCGGTGGCAAAACTGATATTTTATGCTAAGTGGCCTTAGCTAGATACCAAAATAATAATTATGATAATAATGATACTGATAATTAATTAATTACTGATAATTAGTCAATCATGGTAAGACTTGGTGCATATACTAGGTATGACGAACAAGATGGCGTGGCCTCTATTTCGTTGACAATCTTCTTTCGCTGTATAACATTGGTCTGACCTTATTGAATTTTTTTCAAAGAATGGGCTCCACTTCACTTCTAGCTTAGTGTCATGAACATCAAGACTGACGATGCCATCGAGACGTCCGGGAATGAACTAAGTTTGTAACTCGATTGTAAATTTTTATGACTATGATAAAGGATTCTAGACACGCATTCTGCTATATCCCTTTTATAGCATGGCCAAACTATTTAAAAATGTCAGATCGATCCTATTAGTCTTTATTGTTTTTTATAACTGGTATAGAATTTTTTTTACTTATAATTGAATTCATTTTGTATTGGTGATTTTCATAAAGAATTTATGTAAATTTGGCAAAACAGTAAAGCTTGCATATAATGTACAGTGCTCGAAATTTTGTCTTAAACATCTTCCAGTTTCTTAAACAAGATCAAGCCAACTCTATACAGCGGAAAATACGGCCGTAAAACAAGATATCACACCATCACTCATTTTTTCTTTGACTTTTTATTAATACTTTAAAATAGCCTTTATCTTCTATCGTCAAGGTAAATTATTGTCTTTAGATGTTGGCTTTTTCTCAGAATTCTATCATTATTGCCACCGATAAAAATTTATTAAATTTTTGTTAACTGGACAAGATTTTCATTGGCTAACTCAATGGGCTTTTTTACTCACCATTTAAAAAACTAAAAACCACTGATTGACTTTTGTAATTTTGAATGTAATTTTCTGCGCCCATGACTAGTACATTACGCTGAAATATGAAATCTATGCATTATTCATGGCTGTAATATGCAAAAAATGAACTCATAGAGATGAACTTTTCACATAAGGCGATAAAAGTCGCCCTTGTTTTGATAATCTTTTTTTAAACACTAAGGATTAAGTCCAGCATAATATAATAATAAGACTTAAATATGAAAATGGCCAAAAACCTAAATAGAATTGGAGGTTCTTTGTCTTTTTTGTGTTTTCCTTCGGAAGTACTAAATTCGGGAGTGGGACGCGATTTTCTGTAGAAATTTTGTGTGTTTTAAAAGGAAATTGTATATCGTCATTCAAAATCTTTGGCTGTCTCATGAGGATAATGCGACTCTTTGTTATTAAGCTTTTTAGACATTTATGTTAGTATAAATTAGTAAACAATATAAGTTTTTCTGTTACTGGCATACCTTTTACTTCGTTTGAGAAGGCGACTGGAAGAAATTCGTAAATTGGCCTCACTATATACCTAAGCAGGGTTACCTTGGACTTTTGGTTGTTGAATTGTGTGAAAAAGACCTCTGCTTACTATTCTATAAACAAAAGTCCAAGGCAACTCTTCTTCTGTATCCGGTGAAGCCAATTTACGGATTCCTTTCACCAGCATTCTCAGTCAAAGTGACAGGTATGCCAGTATCAGTCTACTAAGAAATTCTTCGAAACAGATTTTCTTCATAAATCCATCTAATTTCTTTTTACCGGTAGATATATTGTTCTCTAGAATTGGTTTACTATACGCTTATGTGAATTGTATTCATCAATTCGAAAATGGGGATAATTTTAGGCATCGTAGTTCAGATGGTCCCCTATACTCCTCTCTGGTTGACTTTTTTGTAAGAAAAAGCTATTACATTCAATCGTGATTAATTTATTTTCAGATTAAGTAGGTTTTTGAGACTTTATTTAGCTCTTAGTAAAAAAATCTTGCACGGCCTTAGGGGAGGGGGTTGTATAAAACTACGCTATGCACATAGAAGACATATTTTCTAACCTAATCCAATCTCCTATAGGATGAATTAACATATTTTTTTAATCTTAATCTCCATCCTATTTTATTTAATGTTCATAAACATTTTTTTTGTCTTAATAAATATTTAACTTCCAAATCCATTATGTTTTGAAATCAACTGTTACTTCCTCTTCGTTACTTCTCAGTCTGGCGAGTTGACTTCTCCCCAATGTTACTATCTGAATGTTCTCTACAATGTGCAAACCATTTTTGGTCATCTTGCGTACAGTAGACTCCAGTATTTTGTGCCTCTAGAATTCTGGCAACAGTTCAAGTAAGTGTATATTTATTTATTTATTTAATTATTTATTTGTATTACGTATTTTCCCATCATCAATCAGACGTCCTATAACCTAATTCTTATATAGATATATGCTCATACACATATCAGCTTCCTTCTCGGCACGCTTCTGAATACACTTTTTAAGCGGTTTTAAAAGATGAAGCGATTACTATTTTCATTGTCTAAGTGTTAGAAACCAAAATTAAATGCAAACCTTTGAGCG